CAGCACCCAGCACCCATCATCCCAGCACCCAGCACCCAGCACCCAGCAGCACCCAGCATCCCAAGCCCCACATCCGGCAGCACCCAGCACCCATCACCTCAGCACCCAGCACCCCCAGCACCCAGTGCTTGGCCACCCCCAGCACCCGGCACCCACAGCCCCAGAGCCCCCAGCACCCAGCACCCCACACCCAGCACCCATCATCCCAGAACCCCCAGCGCCCCCAGCACCGCCAGCACCCAGCACCCATCATCCCAGCACACCCAGCACCCAGCACGCAGCACCCATCATCCCAGCACCCCAAGCCCCACACCCGGCAGCACCCAGCACCCATCATCCCAGCACACCCAGCACCCAGCACCCATCATCCCAGCACCCAGCACCCAGCACCCAGCAGCACCCAGCATCCCAAGCCCCACATCCGGCAGCACCCAGCACCCATCACCTCAGCACCCAGCACCCCCAGCACCCAGCCAACACCCGTTCGGCTGTACGCGGTCACACCCTGATAGTCTGTAAGATGCTCTGTGCTTAATAAATGGGATCAGGCTGCAAACCACACTGGTGTTCTCCGTGAGACCCGGGATTTAGCCGTCGGCAAAATGGCCCCCAACGTGGGGCAGCCTTCTGCTTAAAACATCGGCCGAGACGCGGCGGTGAGCGGGGAACTGCGGCTCAAAGCGGCGCAGGGAAACACAGAGGCCGGCGCGCAGACGCGCCTCTGGGATCGGGAGAGGGCTGTGCAGGCTGTCCTCTGCGAAGGGAAGCGGCTGTGGCACACGAAGCGGAAGCAGCGATGCGGCTCCTCACAAGTGCGCTCTCCGAGGGGGGTCGTGATGTGAGTCGGGCCGAGCTGCAGGACTCGGCGCGATGGGCGCAGCAGCAACAGCTTTGCCTCGGGGCCCCTGTGTTATTTAACCTGTCCGAGTGGAGGGCTGTCGGAGATTTACCGTGGGAATTTACTATAAAGGGCGGGAAAGCAGGAAAGAAAGCGAAGGAACTCGGATCGGTGTGGCGGGAAGCGATTGCTGCTTTGCGAGAGATAAAGCTGAGCGGAAGGTCGCCGCCGCAGCGAGAGGCGTTACAACCAGGTAACACAGAGGGGAGCAGAGCAGCCCCCCCGCATCGCCGAGTGCTGAAATCGTTTGGCCTCGGTGGAGGGAGTTAAGACAGAGGAGGCGGAGCAAGGGGGATCTGGCTGCCCCCCACGAGCGTATCCACCTCCCCCGTTCTCCGTCCCTCCTCTTCCTCATCGTCAGCTCACAGCTCTGGCAGTAACGCGCCCCCAAGGGACGCGCCTCCAGCCCCTCCTGCTGCAGGCGACCTAGAAAATGACAAACTGTCGCATCGACTGATGGCAAAACTGGAGGAGTTGCAGCCCGGTGCTGAGGTAGAAAAGGGCTCTTTAAAATCTACCCCTGGGGGGCTCTCTACCGCAGGCCCTGCAATTCCTTCTGCACCTCCACGGCCGCCGCCAGGAGCTACAACAAATACAGCTCCGGCCAGACAACACCTTCCGTCTTCTCATCCGGCAGCATCCAACCCCGATCCTGTGCAGCCGCGGCGGGCTGGAGCGATCCGAGGTGCCGTTTGAGAAGGAGATTGGCAGGCAGCTGGACCTGCAGCTTGCCCTGTGGTTCTTGCTGGTGGAGCTGGGCGGTGGGAACCACAGGACGGGAACATTTTACAACAGGCAAAGCAGGCAGGAGCCACTTCTGGATTGAAAGCGGGAGTGGCGAAGAACATTGTAAAATAGATATTTACGGCAGATGTGATGGCTCCTGCTGGTTGTCAGAACATCGCTTCGCTTCTGCTGACCCCTGCGCAATGGATAATTTGGGAAAGGACACGGAAGCGACTTGCAATTCCTGAAGTAAATAAACATCGGCGTGATCAGAGCGACCCATTCGATGCTGCGACTGCGGATCTGTTACAGGTCAGGGCCCATGTGCCACCGCCGACGCGCGGGTGACTTCTCCTTCAATTTTCCATCAAATGTCACAACACGGAGCTCACCGGGCTCTCGTGCCGGGCCCTGAAGGGAGGAGGCCATCTCCACCCGCAGCTGCTCGACGAGGAGTTTCGCAGCCATATCATGCTCTTATGGACCGACCATCTCCAGCTAGAAGAGACCAAGCGGATTGACCTGACGCCATGAAAGACTCTATGGTTCGGCTGTTGGCTTTCGAAAACGCCCGTGCCAGGACAAGGACTACATTCGCAGGTTTACCAGAAGAAGCTCCTGCTGATGAAATGTTGTTACGCGCTCCAGGGCGGAGCAGAATGCGCCGGCAGCCGGGGTTGCCTCTGCGGTGAAAAGCGCTTCACAGGCAGAAAAAGGAAAACCGGGACTTGCCGCCGTGACTAAGATGAGCAATGAAACCCCAGAAAGGAGAAAATTTATCCAGGGTATGGCTCCGTGTTAGCGTTGCGGAGGAAGTGGACACCTTAACGGAAATTGTCAGAACCCCGTAGCACGGTGTCTCCACTGTAATAAATCCACTCACGCAACCGCGGCTCGTCTCCGACCGGGAAACGGGAGGCGCGGCGCGGTGGGACAGCGCGCGTCGGCAAAAACGGCTGCTCCTCCTCAACCAGCAATGGATTCCCTTCCCGACACGTGCCAGCCACGCACGGAAGCCCCGGGGTGGACGCGGCAACAGCAAGAGATGTCACCCCAATGGATAACAAAGTCGCTTTAATTCCAAGGACTGCAGGAGGACCGCTGTTTGTACCAGAGTGTGGCACAGGCGGGTCAGGAGGTTTGTGAATCGGGAGATCCTCCTCCGGAACGGGAGGACTTATAATTTTAACCAGGAGTAGCGGATGCTGACTACACTGGAATAATTCATGCCGTGGCCTATACGCTGTTCCCTCCTCTGACTGTTCCTGCTGGCAGCAAAAGAGCTCAGATCGTTGCGCTGTGGAATTCACAGCCTAAAGCCGGCGATTTGTCTCTTAAACATCGCAACAAAAGAGGAGCAAAAGGTTTTG